ACATATGTACATATCGTCCCGTTAACTCAGAAATTGGACGATATGTAATTTTTGGCATAACGCTCGTTTGCTGGTAGAACGTCATAATACATTTTTTTTTAGATCGTCTAATCGATTTCTGTTAATTGTGTCTCTTAAGAAGGAAATTGGTTTCCTTGCAATTTTACCCATTTTCACTTTGTTTAGCAGTCATAGCAAGAAAAAAAAAGCTCTCTTAAGTAAAGTTTAATGGCAACATTATAATTCTTATATTTTTTAGTTATTACTTATGTATGTTTATTTGTAAAGCCCTTTTTCTCGAATTTTTCGATTTTTTGAATTATACGCTATTGCAGTAAACGAGCAATGTGTACGTACATACATACATACATACATACTTAATATATAACATAAATGCCATTTAAAAATCATGTATGATATGCCTTTCTTTTTTGCCACTTTATGCACATGAAGACATATTTATACATACATACATATGTACATGAAGAAAAAATAACGTTTCAACAATTAATGAACGTGAAACCACAGTGAAAAATACACGAAAATTTAGTATACATTTAATACTCCAAATCAATTTAAATTAAAAGTATATAAACCTCAAAATCGCTAGTCTGTTAGCACTTCAATTACAACCACTAAGGGCCGTTTTCACCATCTCTGGTTACCGATGTTAGTGACCTCCATGCATATAACATTGTGTCGAAAACGTCGGTAATGATGTTTAACTGGAGATTAGTGTTAACCAGAGAAGGAGAAAACGGCCCTAAATAGCAACCCTAAAATAATACTGAGGCACAATTTAAGTTTTTTCGGGCCACAGGGAAATAATGGCCAAACGTTAGTATGTGCGGGAGATTCTAAGGTTAGGTAAGGGTGTTAAAAGGTTGCTGACCAACTCTTCAAAGTTTTCGGCTTTGCGGTTTCCAAGCAAACGATTCGATTAAGTTTTTCTTCAAACTGTTCATCAGACAGTAGGTGCCTCTTTGATTTTGGCATCAACAATTTTTTTTTGTCAAAAAATGCTGTTTTAATGGCAATAATAATTTAACATAAATTTATTAGAATCACACTTTGGTAAGCAAAATACGCGTAATCACTTCAGTCAACTTTTAAGAAAAACTTAGGGTAATTGAATAAAACTAAGTAAGGGGTTTATATGTGGTTAGGTAATATTATCTAAAAAAAAAATAACTTAGTTTTGTGTAACGCAACCACTGTTTATCAGTGTAATAAGCCCGCTGTTGCTGAGTTGATAGAGGTACCGACTACCACTCCATAGGACCTGGGTTCCAGCCCTGATCAGAGCAACATCTAAATTAGAAAACGTTTTTTCTAACAGCGGCCGCCCCTCGGCAGGCAAGGACAAACCTCCGAGTTTATTTCTGCCATGAAAAAGCTTCTTATAAAATCCATTTGCTGTTCGGAGGCGGCATGAAACTTTAGGTCCCTCCATTTGTGTAACAACATCAAGATGTTTGAGGAAAAGTTCGGCCAAACACTTAGCAAAAGTTTAATCGCCAAAATATTGTTATTATCGATAATACCTTCATCTCTCACTGAGCCGGATTTCAGAGGATTTAGACATAGAATGTTGCTATCATAGTTTTTGAACCTTCAAGAGATTGAGATGAGCCTGTTTACCACAGACATTTGGCAAAAATAAAAATGCCTTCAAGAATTCACGCAAAATTTAATATATAAAGATAAACCAATATTGGGATTCGTAGTGTAGTTTTCCAAAGAACTAAATTATATTCAAGAATTTGAGTTCGTAAAATTGAATATTCAAATAGTTATAGTAGTTGATAATGATAATCCGTAAATTAAACCGACTTTGTATTTGTTTGGAAATAGTGTATCAGGGAACAAATATCAAAACAAAAAAAAAAACCATCACCAATGGATTTGCACATTTTGCGTTAAAAAAATGTAGGAGCATCTAAAATACAAAATGAAATATTGTATAGACACACGCTAAAGTAAAAAGTTTATGACCGAGATTTTCAATCAGTCAATTATGAACAGGTCATCACATTTATAAAAGAAAACAGTTCGTGCAGGTTTTAACAATTTTAAAAACACTTAGAAAATCGTATTTTAATATACATACATATAGCTTACTATAGTTGAAAAGATAATCTTATCCAAATATTAAGATGCATTTAGAAAAATAGTAAATTATGAATGAAATTCAATTTTAGTGATTTTTACCTGCAGATACTCATAATCGTGTACTTTTGGCTGCATTGTTGGAATGGTTTTTTAAATAAAATAAAAATATACAATATGCATGAAAACGAATTGCTTTGTACATCTGTGCAATTATGAAATGTGTTTTGGACACTGAGGTGTTTGTTATTGTTGCAACCATTCTATGTGCTCCTATTTTGTTATTTTTTATTTAATATTGTCATATTTTTCCAAAGAAAAAAAAAAAAAAACAATCAATTTGCAGTGTTGCATTTGAACTTGAGCACATAGAAATGCCGCCACTACTTTTGATCTCTATTCAAGCACACGCTGCAATGCAATTGCGTATTTCCGAAGCTAATAAGCACCTGCTTGTACGCAAAATGAAGTTTGTTACAAACCTGCTTTTCCATATGGCTGGTGGTGGAATTTTTACGCGAATGCGGTTGATTAGGTGCCAACGTATGTGAATCTGTGTTGTCTTTAGGCGCCGCCGTGTTAGCAGCTGGCACATCGGCTATCGCAGGTGTTGGCTTGAATTTGCGTTGCATTTTCTCACAGTCGCGCAGCGTATTTATAAGCAGTCGGAACAATTCCCAGTGACCGAAATTGAGTCCTAAAACCTAATAAAATAGTTGTAAGAGAAATTAAAAAAAAAAATAACAATAAAAATTAAGGATGTTCTGAATTTTCTGCTTACTGCTTTTAGGTCGCTTATATCGCAGTATTTCAGTACTCGCCCACTGATTGCGTTCTCTTTGAGGATCGGCGATAGTTTGGGTAAAGCGGGACGCAGATCGTCGACTCGTTCTATTAAACTTATGACGCCTTCGACAGTTAGGTCGGAAAGTTTTGTTTGTAGAACGTCATCCTGGATTTTTTTTTTTTTTTTTAAGATTAATAGTTAATCAATTGTTTTTCAACACATATTTAATTAGGTGTGGCAACACTCACTGCAAAAGATTCACTCGGAGAACCGATCAACGGTGTCAAAGCCGCTTCGGAGATCGTGCTGGCGTTTCGCTGTCTCAACTCGTAATCGTTGTGGAACAACTGATACGGTGGATAAGCAGCTGGTGAAGGCACATACGTAGGCGTTGGTGGAGGTATGCGTACGGCAGGGTTAACGCTCGGCTTGTTTTGTAGCACAAGTGTGCCTTCGTCCTCGATCGATTGCTGATCCTCTGCGAATCAAAAGAAGACAAGTTCAATACAATATATGGATTTGTTTAAGAAAAAAATATTGCGCGCACCTTTTAATACTTTTCTCAAGTATGGGTCTAGATTAATTGTAAATGGCAGGAATATTCTCAAATCCGCCACGAGCAAATCCGATTTATGCAACTGCAAAAAGGCGTCCAGCTTGCGCTCGTCCCGATCGAGTTCGAGCAGCGGTGCAGCTTCGCGTAGACAAGCAATCTTTGGGCGCACTCTATCGGCAAGAGTAAATGTACATTAAAAAAAAAAAGGAATTAAACAAATAAACAAATTGGGCGCACTTTTCATAGACAGCTTGCAGTGGCAAATTGTCGTCATATGAGTCCATGAAGTTGTCGTGCTGCAACACAATCATGCTGGCACGCAGCGGCCACTGTTCTGTCAAGTTTATCCACGAACTTAAGCGATACCAACTAAAGTCTATCTGGAATGCTTTCAGCAGGCGCACTAAAACAGTAAAAAAACGCAATGAGCTATTAGTTAGTATCAAACAAACCATTACAGCGATTTTCGAAATTCACCTGTTATGTAAATGACATTCATGAGTCGCCGCATGCTGCGTGGGTTCACGTCACTGAAGTAGTCGTCGGTTAGCATCATGCGCGACAGATCAAGCACCCCCTGCGGGTTCTGTCCCAGCCGATGCAGGTTCGAGCCGATCGAGCTGGCCACCGATTCGGACAAACGTAATTTCTTTCCACCACTGCGCCCCCCCGGATTATGGGACGTACGTAATTTTTCTTGGCTGGACATAATTTCTGATGCGTTCGACAAGCGACGAGCCGACACTGAATGTCCCAGTGTCGGGCCATCTTCGTTGGGAAATTCGCTGTAGTTACGCTTGAAGAGCATTGCGGTCATTTGGGCGCGTTGCACTTTCCTTAAGCCCGAGTTTTGTAAATACACTGGCAAGTGAATGAGGTTACGCAGAAAATCGTGTCCGCCGATGCCGCCTTCGGTGAAGAGACGTCTACTGTTAGCCTCGGCTGCTTTAGCGATCACATGCGGGTCGACGGCGATGAGTACAACAAAGGGGCGATTTGGGGAGGAGAGCAGAGTTTGAATGGCATTAAGCACCGAGAGAATGCGCTCTGTATCGCAGGAGTCCAAGGCGTCCACCACGCCTACAAGCCGGCTTTGTTGGTTCGTGAACGCGTCGAGGCACTGCGTGAGGGAGAAGGAAAATGCTATTAAAGTATGTTGGTGTTTGTTGAATTTTCCCCACTGGGTGATAAGATGATTTATTTATAAATAAGTGAGATATCGCGATTGTAATATTTTACTTAACTTTTCAATTAAACGGAAAATAAAATTGTAATCAAGTGGCAACGCTCTTTACGAATGTTTTCGTAACAAAGCTCGCTTATATATTTTTATAATATTTCCTTTGAGTTATTAATTAAGTTAAATTCAACAATTTAATTAGATGTCAACTGCCTAAAAATATACAGTAATATTGGCTATGTGAGGTAGTAACATACTCACACACTCACTCACAAGCTCTCACATTCAAAATATTAAGTAGGATGTAAGGTTTGCAAAGATATTTTACCTTAACCATGTCGGTCATCAGAGCCACTTCCGTTCCCAGTGCTGTCAGTGGCGCACCCTCATTATGCCGCACCGACTTCCTCAAATGCCGACCCTGCGAAATGAACAGCGACCCAAACGCCTTGGCCAGTATGTGCAAGTTCGTGCAGACAATGGACACCAACACCGCGCAAATGACGTAAATCGAGACGAGCATCCGTTCTTGTTCCTTATCTGTGGCGTACGTAAAGTATGCCACTACCAGCGCTATGCCCGTTATAAGCGTTAACAAACCCAGTTCGAAGATAATCACAATTGGCATACAGCACATGCGCCGCCAGCGCCAACCAGATGTCGCCTTCACCGCTTTGGGCCGAAAGGCCCGATACAAGCGTGTCGATAGCCAGCCATAGTGCGACTCGATGGCCTCGAAAAGTGCGGCCAACATATGCGTAACGGCGCCCTCTCCTGTCGGCGATGCGCTGCTCGCCTCCGCAAAGTGAAAACGTACCGGCTTCGCTTGGGCGTCTGCTTGCGCGCCGGGTGGGTGACAAAACGCCACCTGTAGGATGAGACGCAGGCGTCCTATGCGCTTCTTAATACCATGTTGCACCGAATAGGCCCAATAGACGTCCATGTGGTTGTTAGCGTACTTAATACTGGCGAGCAGGAGGTAGGTTAAAACTAGGTATAGCACCGCTGCTATTGTGCCCCACATGGCAGACCAGGACGACAAGCCGACAATGGTGGCAAGCACCAGAGCTATGTGCAGGTTTACAAGAAACATTAGACCGCTAGTCTTGAAGGGCGGCTCCGCCCACTGGCGTGCGAAGTTGTTCATCTCATCGCGCAGCTTATTTAGCAGGAAACTCTTACCGCTGCCCCACTTGGCGTACAGACCCACTGTGATGGGCGTGGTCAGTGTTGGTTCGCTCAGTACATCGGCCAAAGCAGATGAGTACAGCTCGTAGCCGAGCATGCCCTCAGAGTCTTCATTTGTGTTCAAGCGCCGCGCCCCAAACACCTGTCCGAGTATGGTCTTCTGGTGTATGGTATCGATGTTGTATGGTGTCTCGCCGGCCTTATTTGCTCTATACAACAGCTGACTGTTCTTCGGGTTGCGCAGCAATGCCTCAACGATCGCCTTGGACCGAGCGCGCATGGCAATGTGTAGGCAGGTGTCGCCGCGTTTGTCGCTCGCCGTCACCTTCGCTTTGCGATCGAGCAGCATTTGTACGATTTCCAAATTGCGGTTGCGTACTGCGCGCAGCAAAGCAGTGTCGCCGTCTTTGGTCGCCGCCTCGAGATCGGGATTGGTGGAGAGGAGTATTTTGACGATGTGCACATGGCCCTTCTCCACCGCCGTGTAGATAGCCGTTTTGCGGTCTTTGCCTTGAATATCGACGTCAGCGTGCTTTTTTAGTAATGCCTCAACAACACCTCGATGGCCACCCTTCACGGCGTGTATGAGGGGCGTGTCGCCAGCGCGATCTTGAATGTTGATATAGGCGCCAGCAGCGATTAGAGAAGCGCATATTTCCTGTCAAAGAGAAAGCGTCAATTTCAATGCATGGACAGTGTTATGTGCAACAGAATCAATGGCAAGTTTAAAAAATTCATTATAAATCCCCGCATGCATTTCCCAAGCACCCACCTGGAAGCCCTCGCGACTCGCAATTGCCAACGCCGTCATGCCATCTTTGTCCAATGCATTCACATTTGGTCGCTTCTCCAGCAGCGACGTCACGCAGTCAGTATGTCCGCCTGAAGTGGCCACCAGCAGCGGCGTCCACGAATACATGCCCGCCGTGTCGACATTAGCCCCGGCTTTCAGCAGCGTATCGACAATCTCAGCATTACCTTTGCGGCACGCCCACACAAGCGCAGTCGTGCCATACTTGTCGCCCACATTCACTTTAGCACCGCGCTGCACCAAGAGCTCAACGATCTCCTTAAACCCACGACCAGCTGCCCACAGAAGGGGACCCAGATGGTAATTGCCATGTACATTCACATCTGCGCCTTTCTCTAGCAGAAAGCGCACCAGATCGGTATGACCACGATATGCAGCCCACATTAGTGCCGTCCAACCGCCCTGGCGGAGAGTGAGGATGAGGTAAGAGAAGAGAACGAAACATGTCAACAGCTCTACGGTTGGATAATTAAATGAATATTTACCATATCACGATGCTCAATGTCAGCACCATGATCGATAAGCAGCTGTACGATATCGAAGTGACCATTCTTGGCCGCGCACAGCAGTGCGGTCCAGTTGTCATTGTCCTCAGCTTGGACATCTGCGCCGCGAGCCAAGAATTCGCGCACAAAAACAGTTAAGCCACGTCCAGCAACAACCATAAGTCCAGTGGTGCCATTCTACAAAAAAAAAAAATAAAAAATAAAAAATGGGTTAGGGGGATTGACCTCGACGACCCTTGACCCACTCAAACTCACCTCATCACGATCATCGACGGATAAATGCCGACTATCTAAGATAGCGCGCAAACCAGATAGGTCATTAGTATCCACATATTGTAGGAGCGCTCGATGTGCTAGTGAACCCATAGAATCTCCGTAGCGATTGAGATGCTACATGTAGAAGAAGAAGAGAAATGTATTGAAAATTATCTAGCAGCAAAGCATACATCCGTTACACATACAATGCTCAACAAATACATATTTTTAAGGAAGTTGTCATGCCAGAAAGGAAGGTAATAAAAAAATCAGTATGTGCTGAAATTGGGGAGAAAATCTACCAAAAAGTAATTTTTCGAACAAAAAAAGTACAACGGGCCTTATGAATAAAACGGAAGCCATTGATTTTTCTTAAAATTTCAGACACCTTTTTCTCGACTTATTTAAACAAGTAATTTTTAAGCAAAAAACACAACTGACTTCCGATAGAAAAAAAAAAAATGATCGAAACCGGTTGACGTGGTCCAAAGTTATAACATATGTTCATAAAAAAAAATATTTCAGTAAAGGCCTGAAATTTTAAGAAAAAGCATTTGCTTAGTTTTTATTCATAAAGCCCTATCATACATACATATGTACATACGGGTATATCGAGCCCTAAGCGCCAAAAAGATATAAGCGACATATTTTCCAAATTTCTTTTAATGCAGAATTATTCCTAGATCATCTAGATGCGTTTCTGCATTAAAAATATATATATATATATATATGCAGGCCAAAGCCCTTTCGGCTTTTAAAATTTTTCCGTTTATAAAAAAATTTAAGAATGAAAGCAACCAAATGGTTAGAGCTTCGTACTATAGCTAAGTAAGATCCAGGTTAGGTTGCGGGTCCGAGCCACAATCAAAAACAAAAAGATTTTTACGAAATAAGCTCCGTTTGTATTTATGACATGATAGAGTTTATTAATTCAATAACTTCAAGTAACACGCTACAAAACGTAAAAGCTCGGCCAAATGTAAGCGTCAAATATTTAATAAGAACAAAAACTTAACGAAGCTCTGCAAGCGTATTAATGAAGTGGCCAATTCTGCTTCCTGACTAATCTGACTTTCACAACTAATCGTTATACAAAAATAGGACTTATTAAAGGGCATTATGTCTAAGAACACAATCGATGTTAGTGAATGCAGAAAACAAAAATTTAATAAGTATCAAAAATATTACCCATTTTCAGCTTAGTTGCCTTATTTTTTTTTTTTACGAGATTTCAGTTTTCAGTTTAATGGAGGATTATGGT